ACAGTAGTTGCCACAATCCTGGACATCACCTTTCTACATGAATATTGGCATGAACACACTCCCTCTCCATTCATTTGGCATCTTCTCCGTTGCAAATATTGCTTTAAACAGCTTCTGCAATATATCAATTCCTTCTTCCTCCAAGACTTTCCAACCTTCCTTTGGTATATCATCAGGTCCTGTTTCTTTCCCATTCTTCATTTTATTCAATGCTCTTTTCACCTCCATTCTGCTGATGTCAGTCACCATGCCTTGTTTTTCTGTGGCATTTGCTCCAGAACTTCTTGGGTTCGCTTCGTTCATCAGATCTTCAAAATAGCTCTTCCACCTGCCCTTAATTTCTTCCTCACTTGTCAACAGTCTCCTAGATTCATCTTTCATCATTCTCACATGTGTCACATCCCCTGTCAATCTCTCTCTTCCTTTTGTTCCTCTTTTGTTTCTAGTCCTTGGTACAAATCATCCATTGCAACATTATTGGCCTTAGCAGTGGTCCTCTTTACCTTCTTCCTCTCCACTTTGTATGCTTCAAAGTCTAGAGAGTCCCCTGTATTTTTCCATTTCTTACATTTCTCCTCCTTCTCCCTTACCGCTGCTTGGCCCTCCTCATTCCACCATCATGTTTCCTTCCTGACAGGCATCTTTCCAGATGACACTGTACAGATTTCTGGCCTCTGCCCAGACAGCCAGGGCACCCATGCCCCAGGACACTGCCAGGAGCCACACATCCTCACCACCAGCAGGGACAGACTCAGGCTGCCAAGGACATCTGCCCCACCCACCCAGTAAACCTCACACTGCTGTGAGGGCCCTCTTCACCTCTGCCCCTTCTCCCTGTCATGCTCCCCCCCACAGCACACAGGGAGGTGGGAGATAGTGTAAAACTTTATTGAGCAGCATATGCCCCCTTAGCTAGGCAGGCACGGGCCTCTCGTATACAAAGGAACACGTCAATGATGGCAGTGATGTCATCCTCCGCTGCAGGGGGCAGGGACGTACAGCACAGCCACAGGCAGCCCCCCAGGCAGTGGCAGAGGTTGTGGGGCACTGCAGGCTTGCCTGCCACATGATCAAAGCTCAGGGTCCCATGCGGGGTTGTGAGGTGTGCCTGGGACACCATGGGGAGCAGCAGCAGCAGGGCATAGTGGGTTGGGCACCTCTCGGTTTGTGCAAACCACTTCTCATGGCACACCTGGTACACTCTCAGCAGGGACACGCTCAGGGTGCAGGGCTGGCATGTTGGGGCGGGGGTGGGGCTGGCCCCCAGTGGGGGATCATTCTGGAAAGGCCCCCTGGGGGGAGGGTGGGGCCACAACCAGCCCCGCATCCCAGTCAACCAGAGGCCCCTAATCCCAGGCACCAGGGACTTGGCAGCAGCGCAGAATACAGGCTAGCCTACAGGAGGAGAAGTCGGGGGAGTAGGTCTGGAGCCATGGCAGCAGGTTCTGCCAGGAGCCAGGCCTTTCCTGGCCTCAGAAAGGGGCGGGGAAGGCAGACTGCCTGTGACCAGCACCCAGCAGCCCTGCCTGTGCTTCTGGAGTGAGCAGGGACAGGAGGCTCAGCCAGAAGCTGCCTGGGCCAGGGCCTGCCCAGATAACTTGCCATGGTCCATGGGCACCCATGCATGCACAACCCCCAATCTGAGGCCAAGCAGTACACAGTCCCCTGGTACTGAGTCTGTGAGAGTTTGCAACATTTCTGAGATAACAAACAGCCTTTTTCTCTTGGCTTTGTAGGTCCTGCAGCTGCACATGGAGACGTACCAGCTGGCAGCCAGGATGCACTTTCAGGGTCACTCTCATCCAGAGCCCTTTGTATGCAGCAGGGGACCCAGGACTGGACCTGACTGCTGGACTACCTGGTCACAGTGGCCAAGGAATGGCTGGTGGACTTGTGGGTCTCACACACACAAGACATCACACATGAGCAGAGGAGGGACACACACAAGGAGAAGAGGCTCATGTGTGAGGAGAAGAGGGTCCAATGAAGATACCGGGCAGATCAGGAGTTCCAGGACAGGCTCCTGGCCCTTGAGGAGAGGCACTGGAGATCCAGGAGCAGCAGGCTGCCATGGTGGCCAGGGCAGCGGAGGCCACAGCGTGCACACCTGCAGAGGTGCGGCCAGAGACTGGGGTGCTGAGTGTGTGTCCCCAGGCTCTACCCCCTAGCACTGCCACCCCACTGCCCCCCACCCTAGAAGGGCGCACATAGCACTGTACAGGATCTGCATGGGGAAGAAGGTGCTTTATTGGTGGTGGGTAGGATGGTTGGTGAAGGGGCTCTGTGGGGAGGGAGGAAAGGGGGTAATGGGGTCTGGTGTGGGGGAGGGATAGAGGAGGGGGTCTGTTTTTGTGGAAGGGAATAATGTGCTTTTCTGAGAACTGTCTGCAGTGAGAATGGGGCTGGGGCCGGTTTATAGAGGGGGGTGCAGGAGGAGATGGCTGTCCAGTGCCTCTTGCACCTGGTGCCCTGGCCCCTGCTGCCAGGTGAGTGGCTTACCCAAGGCCTCCGGGTGCGGGGGCTGTCGCTGTTGTTGCCACCCCAGCTGGCACTCCTGGTGCCAGGTGTCCTCTGTCTGCTGCACCTTCTCTGCCCAGGCCTCATGAAATAGCTCTTCCTGGGCCTTGCAGATGTTATGCATCACACAGGCTGTGACAATGACCCAGGAGATATTGGCCTCAGCGATCTCAAAGTGGGCAGTGAGGGTGTACCAGTGTCCCTTCAAGCAGGAAAAGGTGCACTCCACCAGTGCACAGATCCAGCCAAGGCACCTGTTTAAGTGCCTAGCTTGAGCTGGTGAATTGCCAGCTTGAGCAGGGAAATGGCCAGCCAGGTATCTGTGGGGAGGGGCCACCACATGGTAGTCTGCTGCTCCAGATGTGGATGGAGCTGGTTGAGGAGCTCCTAAAAGGTGGCCTTGGTCATTCAAGCCACTGCTTGACTCCAGCCATTGCTTGTCATCCCAGGTATGCTGAACAACATGCAGTTACCAGTCCTGGCTGGTGGTGGGGTTGGAGGCCCAGGGGTGAGTTGATGGCACTGGTAATGGCATCCAGTTGTGCCTCATTGGTGTCCCTGCTGGGGTTCGAGCAGCAGCATGGGGTCTGGGTAGCAGCAGCACAGTGGCAGGAAGTCTGAGATGGTGAGGTAAGCCTGCTCTGGGCCAGAAAGGCAGGTGGCCAGGGAGCAAGGAGCAGGGTTGGCTTTTAAAGATGGTCCCCAGCCGCAGAGCAGCTCAACAACATTCATTCCCAGACTTCTGCAACTGTAGAGCTGGTAAAAGCAAATACCATAGAAAACAGTAAGCTCTTGTTCCAACCATGTCCACACCCCAAAAGCCTGTACTATTACAGCAGTGACATTTCTACAGTATCTGAAGAAGGATGGGCTGATGCTGCAGAGCTGTAGGCTCTCCCTTTTTGTGGCCTCAGACAAATCCAGTGGGTCAGAGTGGAGTCTGTTCATAGAAATGAAGAGATCATCTTCCTTGGAGAAACCAATTCTCTAATTTTCCCTGCCAGTGCAAAACCATGTCCTCTGCTGCCCCTAATGTCCAGAGAATCACTGAAGTATCCTTGTGCATCTTACTCTTTCATTACAGACTAATCAGGCCAATATATCCATTAGAGAATCTCACTGAAAAATACTGGCCAGGAGCGTGCATCTTACAAGTTGCTCTATTTTTAAATTTTACTTCAAAGTACTAAGTAGGTGAGATCATAGGGTTGCAGGAAAGGAGGGCTGGGAGGAACCTGACAGGATCATCTAATTCAGCCCCCCACTCAAGGCAGGAGCATCTGTGATGAAATCATCCCAGCCAAGTGTCTGCTTAACCTGCTCCTGAAAACTTCCAAGGATGTAGATTCCACACTTTCTCTAGGTGGCCTGTTCCAATCCTTGGTCATCCTAATAACCAGAAAATTATCCTCTTTATAGTTATCCCTCTATATTTGTGCATGCAATTATTTCATCCCAAGTCAGGACTTTGCACTTGTTCTCATTGAATCTGATCCGAGTGATTGCAGATAGTTTGGAAAAATTATCTGGATCCTAGCTCTGCCCTCCACAGTGTCTGAAAATCCAATCTGCAAATTTGGTGCTATCTACAAATTTGTAAGCATGTACTAAATCCTATCATCCCAAACTTTAATGAAGATGGTAAACAATACTGGACTCAGGACAGACCCCTGGGGAATGCTACTTGATACCTCCTCCCAATTAGACATTGAGCTGTTAAAGACTGCTTGGTGAATACAGTGATCCAACTGGCTATGTATCTACCTGGCACTATTTTCATCTAGTTTGTGTTTCCTCAGCTTGTTAATGAGAATGTTATGGAAGCCATTGTCAGCATCCTTGCTAAAATCAAGGCATATGACATCCACTGCCCTCCCACATCCACAGAGCCTGTTATTTTACTACAAAAAAATCAGGTTGATCAGGCATAACTTGTTCCTGATGAATCCATGCTGGCTGCTCTTAATTGCCTTGTTCTTCTCTAGGTGCTTCCCAACAGGTTAATTGAGGACTTGCTCCGTGATCTTTCCAGGTACTGGTGTCAGACTGATTGGTCTATAGTTACCCAGATCCTCCTTCTTCCCTTTCTTAAAGATGGGTGCTCTATTTGCCCTTTTCCAGTCATCCAGAACTTCACCCAACCCCCACAAGTTCCCAAAAAGGATAGCCAATGGCTCAGATTACCTCAGCCAATGCCTTCAGTTCCGTAGGGTGCATCCCATCCAGCCCTGCCAACTTGAAAGCGTGGAGCTTCTCTAAGTCACTGGTAACCTGTTCTTCTACTACTCTAGGCTGTTTATTCCCTTCCCTGTATTTAATGAAAATTGCACTTGCCTTCTGGTATCTGCCCCTATTTGTAAAGACTGAAGTAAAAAAAGGTGTTAAGATACTTCAGCCTTCTCTGCATTGTCTGTGACTAGATGCCTCTCACATTCCACAAGGGACCTGTGGGCTCTCTGGTCTTCCCCTTACTTTTAACATACTTGTAGAATCCTTTTTTATTGCCTTTTTGGCCCTTGCCAGCTGCATTCCACATTCGGTGTGATGGGGCAGTGTCTTCAGAGACACCTTAAAGAAAATGGCAGCTTAGGAAGGAAGAAAAAAAAAAGTGCCTCAAGCATAAGCAGATCTAGAATTTTGAAAAGGGGGATGTAGAACCTGAGGTACATCATCACCTAGCAAACAACACCCATTTTTTCCCAGTTAAAATTAAACTAGAAGATTTACTCGTAGGCTGAGGGCCTAGGGCTGTAATATTCAATTTAAGATTGAAGTGAAAAGAAATACTGCATCATTGGAATGAGTTAAAAACAATCTGCTGGGCTGTGAAATAGGAGCTCCATTACCAGGAGCAGGAACAGACACAGGATAGCAGAACAAAGGGATGGCTTGATTGGTGGAACATCAAGACTATTAAAAAAGAGAGTGCTGTTGGGGGGGGTGGGTAGAAGGGATCAAGGACATGACAATGAGCCATGAAGTCAGGTGGCTCCCCTAGCGCTGTCTGACTCGAAGTGCTGCAGCCACAGCAGCTGCTTGGTTTGAAACTCTGGCTGGAGCCAGAACCACAGGGGGCACAAGGGCACCCTCAGGGTCCTCCCCCCAGCCTCAAGGCAGTGCCCTCTGGGGGCACAACCAAGCACGCCCTGCTGAGGCAGCTGCTGGCACCAGCCAGGCACAAGCCAAGAGCCTGCAGCCGCAAGGTGGGCTAGTTTCCACCAGTGCCCCTCAAGTGTCGTGGCCTTGGGCATGAGCGTTGCCAGGTCTTAAATATGAAATTAATGGAAGCCCAAAATTATCAAATTTGCTGAAAAACGATTGCACGCTGAAATAACGTGCAAATGAATATGCAAAGAAGTCTGCAAAGAACTCTTCTTATTTACCTTATATTGCTGTCTGTAAGTTGCCAGTGAGTGAGTGAATGAGAACTGGGGCGTCAAAGTTGAAGCACACAACACCCCCCCCAAAAAGACAAATAAAACCAACCCCCAAACAAACAAACAAGAAAAACCCCTTTTTTATTTCAAGGCAAGACCTCATAAGAAAGGGCTGACAGCCAACCCAAACCTCAGTGAAGACTCCCTGACGGTGACTTGGGTTTTGCATCTGCCGCATCAACTACCGTACTTTTCGAACGCTTTTTCTATTCCTGTCCGTATATCCTACAAGGGTCGAAGTTATCGCACAGATACGGTAACCGTCCCGCACCTGACAACACCGGGCGCCAGCACGCCCCGCCCCCGTGAGGCTACATTAGTCCCGCAGCAGGCGCTAGCACATTCACGTCGCCCCTCTGCATGCCGGGAGCTGTAGTTCTGCGCCCCCCTACCGCTGGGCGGGCCGGAAGCGCGGGCCGGGTGGGGCGGGGCGGCCAGCGCGTGTTCCGGCCGCAGGGCTTCCTGGTTGGCGCTTCCTGGTGGCACCGGCAGTGAGTACGGGCGGGCGGGCGCGGGGCGGCCCCGGTCGCGGGGCT